TTAGTTATATGATAATATTTCTAACCAGGAAATTAAAATGAGGTTGCTACAATACCTGCAAAGTTTGATAATTGAGCTCTGAAAATACACTTTAAAATAACCATGTGAAAATGGCGGCTGTGATGTGCGAGAGTTAATTCCTTTCATGACACCGGCACTCCTTTCTCGTTCATCTTTTTATTTCAAAAACGTATTCAGATATAACATTATATTTCTAACCAGCTTCTTTATATGATCCATATATCTAGGATAAGAGACATGTTGACACGAACTTACGAATACACGATCGAACTCTCACACAGGTAACTCACTGACCAGACTATCGTCACCAGGTCGATAAGCTGTCAAAACAAACACTCGTAGATCATGCGTGATTTTGCGAGATCAGCGAGAGTTGCCAATCTCTGTATTTATACGTCTCTGGTACTACATAGCTGCGATAACGTAGCTTTCTGACGACAAGAGAATGTTTTTATATAGTACACATAATTATAAGATAGGTGTTTTGACAGACGATGCTAGTACCTGTGTAAATAACGAAAGTATTTAATATCATATTTCCTGGATCTAGATCTGCACGATATCGATGTTGGGCCTTCTCAGGCATAAACACATCGGGAGAGAGAGAGAGCTAGAGGCGCTTAGTCGCCTTGAGTGACTCTGCACGCACAACGTTGTCTGGAAGTTGTTTCCAGTCGATGGTCGTTTTGGGAAAGAATGAGGTTTTTTAAAGACAGGTGTGTTACACTTTGTAGTTTTAAAGCACCTAGAGTTGTTGGTTTCCTGGCTTTCTATGACATTTTTTTGCGACACAGTCTATAAACCGTTTGGCTCTAATGCTCCGTTTCCCTCGGATTGGTGTTTAATATTCCTGACAGTGCAAGGCTGACACCAGCCCCTCGACCACTTTATAATAGAATGCTAATCTGTTCTGCTTCCTTCTCTCTTGGAGTGGGGACAGGCCCAGGTCCTGGATCATCTGGGCGACACAACCTGATTCCCAGGATGTTTAATCTCTTGTAATGAATAGGGCCGCCTGGTGTTGGGTTCGCTCTAGACGGTCGACGTCTTTGCCGAGATAGGGGTCCCAGACCACAGAGCTATACTCTACAGTTGATCGAACTAGAGCAAGGAACGCTGTTTTTCGGCATGAAGTTGGGCAATGTTTCAGGTTCCGCCTTATGAACCTTAGAGTGGAGTTAGCCTTCTTTACTATCTTGGTGATGTGTGGACTAAATTTACAATCTTTTGAGAGGGTGACTCCAAGATATGGAGATTCCTGCGCTAGCTGTAGGATGTGGTTTTCAAACTAATTAAGTGTTGTGACTTGCGGTTAATGCTCATGATGTAGCACTTCTTGGTATTGAAACGCATACCCCATGTTGTTGCCCATCTTTCCAAGTCAGCCAGGTCCTTTTGGTGTTGTAGGTGGTCTCTAATGTTCTGGAGGCACATGTACAGTAGGAAATCGTCGGCAAAGACGCGAAATGTAGATTTAACCGAGTCCGGAAGGTCGATAATATGACACAGAAACAGTATCGGGTCGAGTGCTGTTCCCTGTGGGACTCCAGTGGCCACTTGGACTGAGTTGGACTCTCCATCGTCGAACAATACCCTCATGCTGCAATTTGACGGGAAATCTCTCCACCACCTGTTCAATGACCCATCAAGTGGCGTCAATTTATTTTACCGCCCAAGTTTCCACATCTTTTTACACGTGAGATCTGCATAATTCATTTGGTTTGTTGTCAATGAGAAACCAGTCCTTTTTAATACAATGTCCTTTCCCTGAAAGAAGCTGGCTGTGTACGCTATCAGTCTTCCACAATTTGTATGTCGGATTAATTATGAAATAAAAGTACACTGTGACTGTTATCTAGCCACACATTAACACACTTCTGAAAAAGCTAGTATCCATTGTAGAGCATAATTGACTCATCCAGATGATTGTATGGTAGAGTCTACTCTAGCTACCTAGGGGTGCAACGGTTAAGACCCCCTACACAATGTATACACATTTTGTCAGGTCAACTGCTGTACCTGAGGGAAACGGCTTTTATCACGTACACAAACATGGTAGCATCCTGAACTTCAAAGAAATGTTGCAAATATTTACCGTTCGGAGTTTGGATACGATAATTTCGGAATGGCTTTAGTCAGTCTGAAACTCGTATATTTTTTTGACAAATCATTTGAACTTTTCTGATTTTTTATCCCATAGAACGGTATACATTGTTAAATGGGGACCACCAAACCGAATGTACGTGAGACGGATTTGATACGCCTGACAACTTTTATTGAGAATTTCGTAGGAGACGGAGGATGCTTCGTCAGATGTTTTTGTTGTGAACAGTGCTGTGTTACAACTGTGGTTCGACTGTTGTGGTCAGGCATTTGCACATTTGTGCAAAACAGGGGATCGTCAGCACATGTGCGTCGTCATATGTTTCTGACGCGAACAGTACCGGTTGGTCTTCAAATGCCACAATACATAGTACATATTACATAAAGTGATGGTCCCGAGTTCGCCCCACACAGGGATTTTTTACCAGTAGATGCGTCAATAGTAGTCGTAGGCTAATGGTATGACGTCGACAATGGTGAGTTAACATCATACGGGACATTCAGGCAAATACCTACAAACAAATACTACTATTAATACTCATTGGTTCCCTTAGCCATAGTACAGTGGAATGCCTTACTAGCAGATACAATTTCTTGCTTCACTGTAGAATCCTTCAAAACGTTCTGTCCCCACGCCGAGACATACCAGAGTCTGTAAAAATGGGTTTCTACTTCTGCTAAACGCTCACCAATTAGGAGTGGGACGACTGGTTCGCCCGTTGTCAGTATAACGTGACCGGGTTGGGCGTCCTGCTGGATGTCTTCGGCAGTATGTTTCAGTGAGGTAGCACTATAAAGTCGGAATCAGTTCTGCGCTATCACAAGGAGATAAACACGAACATATCGCAGCCTCCTAAAACACACACGCATACACTTCACGCATGCTTC